GAGACTCAACTATTTAGTTCGATTGATTTCTTTTGGAAATTTAGTTCTAAAATGGGTATGCACTGAATGGAATGGGCTGAAGTCCATTAAGAAAATAAATAAAAACTCAACTTTAATCACTCTCTAGTACCCCTGATTGCATATCATATTCGTTTAGAGTATCATTTATTGTCATTCTCAGGGTTGTAAATTTTTTATATTTTTTCAAACCTCAGCTTCACTACAGCGTCTACATAGGAAAAAATAAATTCAAATAAAATTTGAATTTATCTTTTTAGTAGTAATATCCTCTTGCGGCGGCTCAAAGTTAGCGTCTGGCCTCTGGTGGTCTTGTCTAAGAGTAGGCAATTAGGCAATTAATCAAAATAGACGTAAATATTTCCAAACCCGAAACCCAGGAAAATCTAGGAATTATACGTTCCAGCAAGTAGAAGTTTGCGAAACATGTAACAATTGTTAGACAGTAAAACGTGGAAAAAAGTTTTTCAGTCACAGACATACAAGAGGACAACGACAGAGCGCAAATTTACAAACTTAGGAACAGAGTAAGAAACCATTTGCACCCAAATCACAGTGCTAAAAATAACAATAAATTGTAATATTTTTCCTCGCTTCGAAAGACAGGTCTTCAAATACCCACCACATATTTACATATTTTATATTTCACCTGTTCACAGTCATTTATCTACATGACAATCGTATTGTTGATCAATCCAGTTCATTTATAATAAGAAGCTTTTAGTTTGCCATATAAACCCCATCATCTATAGAAATGCTACTAGGAAAAGCCCTCCAAAGGCCATTAAAGGCCAACTACCTGGTGATGTAAAATATCGATTTGGACCTCCAGAGCAACGGATATTTCCGTGCCCTAGTAGAAATTTGCAAGCAAAAGAAAAATGGGGATTTCACGTGCATTTTACATAAGGGCTAATAGCGTGTCACTGGTGTTTGAAAGTAACGATTTTTCAATTTTTGTAGTATTTGTAATGTGGTCTCTTTGCATCAAGTGAATTGGCACTTTGTGGTGCAAAATGTACGGCTTTCATTTCTCTTTCGGCATAATGGAACTTTGTCTTGTCTGATATTTTTGCATTTATTCGCTATACTTTACTGCTTGTAACGTAAAATATAGAATATATATCCAGGAGTTTGTTCCAAGGTTCCGCTCAAATTATTTAAGGAGTTTCAAAGGTGAAAGTTTAATGTAAAATGCTGAAATGGCGCGGTAAAAATTCAGTGTTCTCAGGTATATGCTTCAATTAGTTGCAATGAGGTTCCTAAGGGCAGCTTTTACTTGCTTTTTTTTAAGAAATGTGTCAGATTTCACGATTTTGACTACAGTTCATACCGTAACATGTATTACCTTCATTTAGGTTTTAAAACAAATAGAAGGAAAAAGGAAACATGATGAAATCAACAAGCTGAACAAATTCAATATTAAACATTAATGTTCCAGATCAATTTGATTATTAATCTCGCAACACTGAAGGTTCATTTTAAATAAGTTAAATCTTCCAATATGATTAGTGGCTCTCTATTCAGGTTGAAAAACAATAACTCTACAGCTTAAGCCACGTTTCGTCTTAATAGTAATTCGAGATGTACAGATTAAAAGTAAGCGAACAGAAAATATACGGAATACTTCCTGGTTTATTAAATCTGAGCTTTATTAAAGACGAACTCTTGATAAAGCAGGGAGCACTGTTATTACTTTCTTAATTTAAAAGAATTTCGCATTGAAAACCTGTCACTTTTTAACGACATTTTGATTAACTTTTGCAACTGTAAATTATTAAAGACGTAATCTAGATCATAAAAAAATTTTTGAGGTTGGCCGTAGCTTAGTTAATGCTTTTTTAATTTAAATTTCAGTAGAATGAAAAAAAGTTTCTCGTTTGTTAGTTTCTATTTTCTCTTAGAATGAAATCTATTCACATAAAAAATTAATGAGGTACGTAACAAAAAGCTTCAGCCACATTTGTATAACTATACGGAGTAGTTCCAGGAAATCCGAGTGATATTGTATTCTATCATCTACCATCTATCATTGTATATTCTATCAACTGACCCAGTTGAATTAATTGCTGTCTTAAAAAAAAAACGTTAATTTTGTCCAAAAGTGTACTAGAATTTCAGAAATCAGTAATTATTTTTACCTTTACTTCAGGATTGGCGATACCAGCAAAACTGATCAAAATTATACTTGCGCGAACATGGAAATTCGTATTCGCAATTGAACCTCAGCATTGTTTATCACTGTTAAACAATCTAGTAGCTTTTTAAATATTTAAGACTTCTTCAATTGTGTATAGACTTTCACAGTTCACAGTTATTTTGTTTTTTGCTGTTTAAAATAATTTCGGTATTCATTAGCAGATGGTTTTGAGCTTCCTGGCTTATTTATAGACAAGCCTTTTATAATATTTTACATTAGAGATGCGTAAGAGTCAACTTTTTCTCGATGGAGATTTACTGACTTTCTTTTAACGAAATGAAATACGAAATACTCTTTTTGCCTGCTTTGCAAATCTGAAGCAGGCTTACCGACAACATATTTTACAGCGCGTGTTGGGAAATGGCTTCCTTGATTGTACAAATAAAACTCTTATTTTGTATGTAAATGTTTTGAGTGTTTCTAATTTTAAAATTTAATAACGAATATCAGAATTATTATGAAAGTTTAAGTAAACCAGCAGATCTAATGCGCACTAGTTCAAGTAAACTGTATCTATATTCTGAGTGCAAACAATATTTGAGTGTAATGTTAAGTAGAAAAAGGTATTTTTCGACTACATACGAACTATTATCCTTTAGATAGTAGTTAATTTTTAAGCTCAGCACCTTTCACGACCGATATACGATTGATTTATGTTGCCATTGACGGTAACACTAAACTCAGGAATCTTTCGAAGAATCAAAACAGTTAAATACAACGTATCTTAAAATTAGCCAAGTATGCAATATGAATAACCAGGCTGATCCAAAATAAGTGTAATTCTGTTCGTAAGGTTACAGTTTAGAGTTTGATGGGAACAATCACTAACATCAGGCATGTAAAAATATTTAATTTTGACCCGTTACGTAACAGTCCTGAATCTGGTGGTTTTAAAGAACCACCGGGTCAAGCGCTAACTGAAAATCGAATCCTAGAGAAAGTCGAATTTTACAGATTCGACCAAGTTCCGAAACCTTCCTTTTCATATAAAATTGTAATATTACATCCAAAGGTGAACTAAAAACAAGAAAACGTTCCTGAAAACCCACGCATTGTACTCTGTGGAATACCTACATTTTGCAGCAAACGAACTCTCCTTAATTGATCGGAGTGATGAATTTTAAGCAGCAGGAACAAAATGAAATGTTTTAGAAAATTTTCTATAATTTAACAATACATGCAGAGTAATAAAGAAGAATCCAAGTAAACAAAAAAACCAGTCACAAAAAACAAATCCAACATCATTCCTGATACAACCAAAAACATTATTGCCAAATTTATTATTTAGTTGTTTGCTGACAATTCAGTTTATTGCAAGAATTATTTTTTTACCACCTGGCAGAGAAACCGCTATACATTTCTACATAAGAACTAAATATTTTTACTACTACTTTTTCTTTTATTATTAGCCCTGTTCTTTCTAAATATCCGTACGACAAACAGTCAACAACAGAATAATGACACTAATTTCGCATCTTCCTAATAAGTTTGATCGCAGCAAATACATTTTTTGATTGATGCTTCCTAATAAAAGAAACATTTACAAGATAACAAGTTATGAAAAAAATTAGGAACAACGAAAAAGGCAGAAATAAATAGACAATTTTATAGAAACACTACCAGTTTTATTCGAACACAAGTGTGGACTATTTTATATTTCTTTTTTTAGTTAAAATAAATTACCTTGATGTTTTACAACCATTTCTAACGATGCCGATTTACAAAAAATCCCTCGTATTTGATTCTTCTCCTTTAAACATTGGAGTCGGGTAGGAAAATATATAACCTGGCTTAAAATAGAGTGTATCAACGACCAAATATAAATTACATATTTCAAAGCAGTAATCACGCCTGTAACTTTTTCCCCTTTTCCCAAGATTAAACATTCGAAACAAATTATTTCGCTGAGCCGTAAATATCAAATGGGTCCCACTTTGAAAAGGAAATAAAACAGCGAAATTTTCCTGTTTTATATTTGAAATATACGTTTGTCAACGAATTGTAAGGAATTCGAAAACCCTACTCCATTTATTCTCATTCATTCGTTAGTAGCTTACGTAATAACCGCTTTCGAAACAGAATGGACCAACCATTAAGAACGTAGAGCGCTTCTTTCTTTCTAGAGTTGTATCTAATGCGTTATTGCGCTTAATAATAATCGTGTTGATGAATAGAACCGCCAGGTCAATAATGTTTGTTAATGTCTTAAATTATAAAGTTGTTTTAGTAGAATTTTATTGATTAGTTCGAAACTTTTGTTTTGAAAAACATTTTATTCCAAATTAATACAAATTTTACACGTAACCGAACCGAGCTATGACTTATGACTTCTTATGACTGTATTGTAACTGTCTTAAAACTATTTTTAAGACTAAAGCTCCTCTGACCTTCTAAAGACTTCTGACCAGACCTCTAATAACTTCTTAAAAATTTTGGAATCGTAAAATCTTATGGTCAAAATATTCGTTTTTGCTGTAGCTTCTTTTATACGTAAATCATGCTGATCATAGCAGATACTATACGAAGTCTTAGTTTAAAAGAATAGTCGGCATAAGTGACCATACAATTGTAGTTTAGATTGAAGGAAAGTTTCGTATCCATGGATAGAAAAAGGATCGGGTAATTTATAAAAGAAGACGTAGAATTGGTAATTAAAATACATCAATAATTATAAAAGATGTGTTTTTTTCTTAGCGAATTTTATCATCGTTTTTTGATGATTGAGATTTGAATAGAATTGAAGTTTTGTAAAACTGTATTTAAAATTCCTTTTTTTTTGCAGTTAAGAAAGCCCGTTACGTTGGAGCTCAAGGTGAGTGTTGCTTCATTTGATCGTTTGCTTTCATTTAATATTAATACTTTCGAAATAAACTGGCATGTTTGTGAATTAAGAAATAAAGCCAGTAAACATTTTGTTATCGTACTGTGGTTGCTTATTAAAGAGAATCATACGGAAACTGAAAATTGCAGGAGCCAGTTAAACTGAATCATTGCAGAAAACTAACCGCGCGTAAACCATAAAGCAGATTTATGGTTTTGAGCAGTCCATTTAAAATTGGTTAAGACTATTAAATCTATTGGGCATATCTGAGAAACCTCAATTGGCGGCTGTTCAGCCGAACAAGATAATCTGATTTATTTTTAGAGCTCGTCTGGGAAGCCTTAGGCTGCAAAGATTGAGGTCATTTCCTTTCCATTAGATCCAGAGTTTTAAGGAGGTGCCAATTCCCTCTAATAGATTCAATTGTCTCAGCTTTAAAAATGCTTTCATTATCATCAACTTGCTACCCGCTAATTAAAGGTCGCAGTTTGCTGCGATGTCGTATTGATTTTATTCAGAAATTGTTGCCTTATATTCTACTAAATTTTCAAAAAAATGGTTGCAGGTCTCTGCAAACGTTATGCATTAAGTCGATTCAAAATATATGGCTTGATCTGTTTAACATTAACATGTTACTTTCTTCAAATAATTTTCAAAATTATTAAAGGCAATAACTGACAAAGAAGTGCAGGTAGAAGATCGACTAATACTATTTGCGCATTTTTATATAATTTATATATTGTATATAGCATATTTTGAATTAACAGCCTGGAATGTTTCTAGACTTTACTTTCAATATGGAATTAGTGAACAAAACTGTAGTGATTGAGAAGAAGTGGATCAAAGTGGATCAATTGATCAATCAAAATAAAAAGCTTGTAGCACTTATAGAGAGGAATCCCACATACAACGAAACACTGTATACAAACACATAATACATTTTTCAATGTTTTGCAGATAATTTATAAAGTAGAAGTAACGTTTTCCGTCTTTAAATAGTCTAAGCAGTTGAAAATCTATCGTAATTAGCGGAAACAACTAAGTCATCTATAGTTAGTTATTTACCGGTGGAGAGTAATATTTTTCCGCACGCGATTGCAGTTGTAGGATCATGAACTCAAGTGAAAAGGACGCACGCACTTTAAAATTAAATGTCATTAAATTCTATAGCTTGAAATATTGAATTTTTTTGTCTCATCCTGATTTTATTTTATACTGTTGTGAGAACCTAAAAATACTTTTGCTGGTAATCTTAGTTCGACAAAAAAGAACGTCTTAAAACAAAACATGTTTCTAAGCAAACTTTTTGATAGCGGAACTAAATTGACCTAAAAACTTTATCGGAAGACTTTGAAATAAGCAAGCTTCGCTTGAAATTCTATCAATTAACGCGATGGCGTTTAATCCGTTATAAGCTTCGAGTTAACGGTTGGACAACTTTTCTGGCGGATTTAACGGGGCGTCTTATTGTAAATATTTTCTAGAATCTCTGGAACAAAATGTAAATTGCTGTAATTTTTATAGGGGCGATACTATTGTGAAACTGGCTACTTTACATCCACAAATTTAATAAAAGGCCAAAAATAAATAAATACTACTATCTATGATCATTTTTAGATGCAAAACCCTCTCACTCAAAATTTTTTTACGAAAATGTTCAACAGTTCCTAAATTGCAGACGAAATTCGAATTAAATCTGAAACTGCTATTAAGTTTGCAAAGACATTTCTTTCCAACTTCTGGAAACCGAATTGCTTTTGTGAAATTTCCCCGGAAAGAAAAATGAGTATAACGGATTCTCTTTACGAACGAATTTACGACGAATTCTAGCAGCGGGAAATGCACTAAAATAATGGTATACCGTTACTTGCAATATTAGTAGATTTAAATAAAAGTGACAGACACGAGCAGAATTCCAATCCCCGTTAGCAAAGTTGCCCTTTAGCAGTCAATATTAATATAAGTGAATTTCAAAGACTGTTTCGTGTTCTATTCATGTTTTCGGCGCTGGAAGATTTGATTTTTTACTACTCTCATAGAGTTAACATACAAATTTCATGTCGTCTGTTTGTTGATATTCATTTCATATAAAATTTTGTATTTTTGTACAAACAGTTTCTGGTCGAGGATTAATTCAAAGTAAATCCGAAGAATTTATTAATCCTGATTCAATACCCTTCTAGCCAAATGAGGTTTAATGATCTAATTACTTTTCACCCATTAATGTACCGCATTGGCAAGTGACAGCATTGCTTTAGCCTCTCTGGATTGCTTAATCATTTAATTGCCAGAACTTGGGCTACGATGCAGTTTAACGTAAATCAGTCTAAATCGGATTATTCTAAAGATATAGTTCGGCCAAACAGCATTAGGGCTCTCTGTACTTATGCAAATCGAGAAAATTGAGTTCATTGAACAGTCTATTCAACACAACTCTTTAAATAAAAGTCGCTCCTCATTCAGAGCTTAAATCTAAGATAACTCATAAGTAAAGTAGGAACATCTGCAGAACTTTGATGGCTTCAAGGCTGTTCGATTCACCTTATGCACGTATATAAAAAATTACCTTTGAAATTATATACTTCTGTCCTGAAATTAGCATATTCTATCCCGAAACATTTCTGTTTATGGCTAAATAATAAAGCTCCTCTGAGACGGTGGAATTTTTTGTTGCAAACTCAGTATCGCATATATTGAAAGCTGTTGCTTTTGTATCAACCATTATTAACATGCTACAGTTCCAGATATATTTCTTACTGTTTTGGTGTCACTATTAAAGTGGAAGGTGTTATGAGAATGTTGCGGTTGTCGAACAACAGTTGGCAACAAAAAGCTTTTTCCTACGGCCACAGATGGAATGAAAAAAAGGGTTTCCATGTTTTCCGTGTGATTAACCTTTTGCGACTCCGCAGTGGCAAAACTGCTCGTGTGGACAAACTCAAAAAGATGTCTCGCAAAAGATCACAAAGATAGAAAAAGGCCGCTGCAATGTAGATAGAAGGATTTTCTACAAACAGATTTATTAAGATATCTCAATATGCACAACACGGTTATCGTATGGCAAATGTTTGCCAGAGCATCCTATTAAATTTTCAATTAATTTTTGTGATGAACACACAAAAAACGTCCAAGAAGAACTGCTTTGCCACGATCTATTGACCCTTCAACCCCAACACAGAAAGCAACATCCATCACTAATTACGATTATCATCACACCGTCACCAAGTAACTTCAACACTAGTTATTTAAGGTGGCTGACTTTGAAATAAAAAATATGAAAATAATTAATGATGCATGATCTAGGTGCTGATTACAGGCTTCATATTCATAATGTTATTGACGATGCACTCAGTGTCTTTAAATTATATTTATACGTTATTAGTTCAAATTTTGTTGATTTTGTTTGCAACTGTATGTGTTTGCAGTGTAGCATCAGTCGTCATCATTTCATTCTCTCTTCTGCAATCATAATGCAAATCCTTTTCAACAACACAAACATCTTCTGCAAATTGAGCATTATTGCAAGGAAAATTTGATCGCTAAACTGTAGAACATCAGCTTTGCCCTGTTCGGCACTGTAGTTAAGGCAGGAACTTATTTTTCTTGCAAGGTAAATAAATAATAATTTCTGTTTCAGCTGCCCAATTCAATACTTACGTTACTCTGAAGCTTCAAAACGTCAAATCTACAACTGTAACAGTTAAAGGAGCATCGCCATGTTGGGCACAAGATTTTTTATTGTAAGTACTTCTATTTTCAAAACACATAATTTATTTAGTTTGCTTCAAAATTATCATTCAAAATATTAGCAATTTTTATAAAAAGCACCAAACTCTATTATGAGTTTCCCACTTCATAGGGGTTACTTTTCTACAATGGTTATGAAGTAGTTTTAATTATAATGCGTTTACATAATTAGCAAAAACTATAATCCCTTATAAAAATCCTTGTCGCTTGTTTCTGCGGCGACAGTAAATTTACTTTCTCAATTTTAATCGTGTGCTACATTAAAACTACTATGCTGTGAAGTCCTTAAGCCAAACTTAATTCCCCGCTCTTTGGTACAGGTTGATCTTCTTTCCAGCCTTTCTGGATTAAGTTTAAAAGGGATTTTTTTTTCATACTCCAACAAATAGGTCACAGATTTGTGATACCGTTGAATTCACAGCGCAATTCTTATATTACGTTTAGAACCTCATTTGCGAGGACATTTAACATTTAAAGTGTGAGAACTAAACAATGGTCTGCCAGAGTCATGTTTAACACAGTAAAATTTTAGATTAATTTTCAAATTGCTCAGGCATGCAGTTTCATTAATTCGATGACTGTACGTTTTTAAAGATGGTCTGCTGCAAAATCAGCTTAATAAACAGTCTTATTTTGACCCAAGAATATCGCAGTACCCTTTTGATCATGTGCTTAAGGGAAACCCTGTATAACTGAACAGAATTCGATTTACTGAAGGGGGAACTGTTTACCAGAACATGTTCACTGGTCTAATAAAACATACTTCATATGCGTGGTTATTGTACAAAATAATTAACAAAAAACTGAAAAGAAAATTTAGAAGACTCATGTGCTAGTATAGAATTGAAGCAAATAATTTTATCACCATGTATAAAACATCCACTGCAAATGTTGGCCACTAGTTCAAAAGCCAACCGCATCAAGCATCAATTAAATAGTGTTTGCTCTAGGAAAGTGCTACAGAACAGTGAAGTGGCACTAAGGCGTTAAAATTAAGAAAGCTTCAGAATGCCAAGTTAGTTTCCTCTAATTTGTTTGTGAACACATCCATCAACATTATTCAAGGGACTTCGTCAGGAGTCAGGGAAATAAAATAAAAATTCTGAAGGCTGCACTAAATTCTAAATTGACCTAATAAATATGCAATTGCAATAATAGAAATGGAACAAGAAAAGCGAATGACAACAATTCTGTTTCGAACGTTGTATTCTACACGAAATAGCGAGTGAGGTCTGTTGGAAGTGAGCGATTATAATAATTTGTTATTTTCCTGTTTCTGCTTTTTAGATTCATTTGCTTACGAAACGTTTCTGCCTTCTATCTGAAATCTTCATGACTTTAATTGAGAGGAATATCATCGGGTGTAAAAGTCACTGATAATTTTCATAACAGTTTCGCTTTCCTATTTCGTTATTTGTATCACAAATTTCACAAAAAATATTTCGGCAGACTTATCATTGTATGAAAGTTAACACACTTTTTGTGTCGATCTATCTAGACTTTCGTTGAATTCGTCATTTCGATTTTACTAAGCCGATTCGGTGGCCATTTCATTGTCTCTCTTGGATACATTTTTATATTTTTCATGTTTTTATGGAGAAACTTTTCAATAAATGAAATATTAGTATAAAATTATCTACTACTTGTTATTGGGCGTGAATATTTATTTTAATTAATTCGACTGCTGGTTTTAATTTATGCCATCTGGAATGCAGCCAACTAAGAACGTTAACTCGTTAAGATTAAACCGCAGCGCTTTCACAAAAGTCTAACGCATTGCGATTTATTAAGCCAATTTAAAACAGAAACGATTTTAAAACTATTTTAAATTTGATATATCCAATTTTTGCTTTCTGGGGTACCAAGAAGAATGTTTCAATATCAAACGGATGATTTGCACTACGCAAATGTAAAAACGCGGAATATAAAAATGTATATTAAGTTTAAGTCATATTGTTGGCAGGCAAAGCAATAGCATTTCTCGTTTAGAAAGTGGCCAGTCGATGCTTTTTACTTTTATTGATTTATCTATTACATTGTTTATAAAATAGTAACTCATTTGAAAGTTGGTGATTTTGGGGAACAACCTCATCTGTTGTTCTTAAATTCCTTGAAATTGACTGTCAAGTTGTAGTTGCCGTTTGGCGCAAAGCACCAATATTTGTATTTAAGCTAAAAGAAGTCTAATTTTTTATGTTAATGCTAATATATAATAATAATTAATTATCGTTTACTGTAATGTCTGACTTTCGTTTTCTATAATTTTCAGCGAAACAAGCAATCTAAATACAGGGTTATTAATAGAGGTATGGAGCAAGGGCATGATATGGGATCGTGCAATGGGATACCATTGGATACCTTTACAGACAGTCCACTATACAATCGAGGTAAGCTTTCTCGTTTGAAATGCAGATAACAAGTAGGAACGATGGTTTCAAAAAAGTTATGGTGTTTTGGCATAACTTCGATTTTATATACAGTGTGACTGAAAATTAGGGAAATGTTTCTGAGGGTGTTTTGGGAGAACATTTTTACCTGGTCTCGAAATGAAGGTTTCTTCATTTCATGTGTACATTTTTCTTGTGGTTAACAATATACGGAGTTGAAACAATTTTTTATGGTTTTATCGTCTTTATGCATATGGCAATGTAAAAATATTTATAATTAAAAAAAAAACTCAAACTGCGTATTTCTAGAATCAGTGTCTATTAAGCGAAGAAAAGTTGTCTTTTCCAAGCTCATTGATTTTGTCAAAAATCAAATTCAGTTTAATATTGCCTGTAACAATTTCATTTAACCAAATACAATATTTAATCGAAATAAAGCTCTTTACTCTCTACTGAAAAACCTTTTTTTCTGGTCGCTTACAATATGTCGAAATTTATGTTATCTTATTTCTAAGCTTGAAAGAATACGAACCAAAAACTACAGCGTGGAATCAAACAAACTAGAACAAATAGTCTGCATGAAAAGACGCACCTAAAAGTTAATAATATTCATATCAATGTATTCGTGTATTATATTTGATTACAAAATAATAATTCATCTGCTCGTAAATACTTTTCCCATAAGATCCTTCCGTTTCCGGTTAATTTTAATATTCTGCCATCATAATAAATGCAGTCTTGACATAAAAAATGGGTTGCTTCATTTTCTAAGAAAGAAAAACACCCACTTAGTCGTTTGTTGCAGCATAGAATGTATTATCTGCTTGATGAAAATGTATTTTTAAAATTAAAATAAATGATGCATTTCTCTGTCGCCGCGAGGCTAACTTTTCATCTGGCTTAGTTAGAAGCTGTAATAAAAATTTTTAATCTAATTAAATTTGCAAATGAAGTATGAGGAAATGTACTTCTCTGCACGAACTCCTATTAATTACAGTCTCCGTCCCTAATCTAATTAAAGTTAACACTATGTGTCAACAAAGTTAGTTTTATAATTTTTTCAAATCTTCATTTTGCATTTTTTGTATATATTTATGACCAAACATGTCTTGAATTATGAATTATATTATAGAGTGAGCGTAAGTAGTAATTTTTCAACAAATTTAACACCTTTCTATTATCGGAATATTTGATCGAATAGAGAAAATATCATTTCGATTTTAACCGTATTTCAGATTTAGATAAATAAATTTAAAACCGAAATATTTCACTTAACATTTCAATGGAAACGCATATAATCCATCTTTATGTAGATCCGAATCACTTGAAAGCCAACTTTTAAACATGAACCTCTAGGACTTTACATGCAAAGTCGTTCCGTGAAATTTATCTTTTTAAGAGACAATCGATCCGATCTGTCTGTTTTTCAAGAGCAGCAAACTTTTTACTGAACTACTTTATTACTTAAACTCCCACGCTTGAAACTTTCAATCAGCTATATCGATATACAATTTTTTGTTGAAATTATCGACAACTGCTTTTCTAAAATATTTCGAGTGACTCTAGTGAGGTGGTTTGCTAATTATAAACAAATCATGCAGAGCGTAATATAGTTTAAAAGTTGCTTTGATAGACACATTTAACTGAAAAACTGGATAACTGACTTAATGAAGCAGCTTTGCGTTTTACTCGGTATTTCTACAGTTATATCACGTTTTGTGAAAGGGGATATGTTTAGCCGGTTTTGTGTCTACTGATATAACGAGCTTCATTAAAAGCAAAGAGAAGTTTGTAATATAGCTGTTCTGATAAAACTTGTACACTTACTAGCGTGGTACATATATTCGGAAAATTTTGCCTATTAATTTACATTTTTTATTGAAGGAATAATTGATAGGAATAGACCAATTTACATATACATCAGAAACCTCTCGAATAAGTTTTTATTATTAGCTGAAAATGTTGCCACTAACCACCAATCTTATTTTTTCAAATGGAAACGCCTGTTTCGTATTAAATTTAAAAAATGATGCATTTATTTCTTACCGATACTCAAACTTCAGGAATTTAAAGGAAAAAAAATACGAAAAACTCATTTCAGTGGAACATATTTCATGTATTAAGAAGCTAAATTCATAAACTTTGAAAAAACTATTACTTTAGATTAAATATACTAATTTCTGTATTTCTTTCTAGGAGGGTACTGGCCAATGGTTATCATTAGATGCAGAACTAGTAATGAAAGACGGAGAAGTAGTTGGTACGAAAATGGCAACCGGACATTCTTTGCTGGTCGATTGCCGCTTCGAACTGCCTTTCGGTAAGTATCAGTCAAAATATCTCCTTACCTTAAGGTGGATTCGGATGCCGATTAGAATTTTTCACTAAGAAAAGAAAAATTTATAGAGCTTTTTAAAAGACGACCCAAATTATTTTTTTAAAACTGGGATTTACATATTTGAATTGAATATTTCCGTATCGATGTGCTTGTAACATACAAATTAATTCACGGAATGGACTAGAGGACTATTGAGAGACCTATTATTACATAATAATTTGCCAATTTCAACCAGAATATTTTTCAAGAACTGTTTTTCGCAATAGAAAAGCACACTGAACTCAGTTGAGAGCAAAGGGAAAAAGCTTAGTCAAATGCTTGTGGTTACAACAAACAATACAATAAAAAGTAACAATATAAAAACATTCTAATTTATGTACTCTTAAAATTACAGGGTAAAATTATTTGACGTATGAATATTTTTCGAATTAAAATACAAATTCTAAATCAATGAATGTAAATATGCTAATTCCGTGCTGCATAAATGCATCCAGTTTAAATCGTTATTAAAACGGTTTTGATTGGTTTGTGTTACTAATTCGACAAAGGTGGTCAAATACACGAATTATAGTGAATAAAAAGTTCCATTGATCTATTTTATTAGCAAGTTTCAGCGCAACCGAATAATCGCATGTGGTATTTCAATAAATCTGTAGCACGCAATTGAATGAAGTAGTCATTCATATGCCTATATTATTATTATATTTACCTCATATATTTTATGCAATTCGTGGGTTTCAGTCCTTCGCATATTTTTGGGGACATATTTGATGAATCAATATTATTATTTAGCAACCTGGGGCGAGACTTTGTTGTCAATAATTAAAAATTACATTCAATTTAGATTCAAATATTTTCATCTATTATACCACCATTATTACCGTATATCCACTACTTCCAGATCGAACGATTTTATCTTTCTGCTACCTAGAAGTACCGTTGTGAAAATATTATATACTTTAATTACTGTCGTATGTAACCTAAAGTAAAATAGTAACACAGAATTTAAAAGAAATATGTGATAATTTTTAATTTGTATGTTCAGAATTGGTCCGTTAGTCCAAGGAAACGAACCTTCTATGATGCTGTAAAAATATATTTCCAGAAAAGAACAAACAACACATAAGCAAATCTTTACACAATATTTTCCAAACACTCATCGATTACCACAATTTCCTGGCCTTCTAATACTGAGAAATTAATAAAAAAGACGTAAACACATCCAGCTTCTAGCTTCGGAGCCACCACTTGATATTTCCTTCAATAAATATATCACATTTCACTTTTGCAATCGCGGAGTATTAGAGTGCAGACCCAAAGTAAATTTGCTTGGATTAAAATTTAATCTCAACTCTGAAAGGGTATTGTGCAAGTAAATCTTGATGGTCGAAAGGCAATCCCTCAAGTTTCTTGTAATCCCTGTGTTTCAAAATCGAGGAAAGTTCAACAAACTTAATCCCTGTATGAATAATTTCAGAATAACATTGCAGCTGCAAGCTTTGCATTGAAAAGTGATTGTATCTAACCTGGTACAATATTTAGCATTATATTACTTTTCTGTCTATTATTGTTTTATTTATAAAAATTTTTAATGTCAGTAATATTTGGTTGTATTAAATCTGTCATGGTATGTATTTTGTATAATAAAATAAACGCGTTACAAACTTTTAAAATAGTTTGTGATCAGGCCGTTCTTAGCATTTATTAGATCGGCACCAAAATAACGATGGGAAAGCATATTATCGATGTTTGCCATTAGGCAACATTCGAGGGAAGTTTGCAACCTGATCCTTGTTTGCTCGGCGGGTATATTGATATATGGTTTTACCATATCTTAGGATATGGTGATGTAAATCTTTGATGAGCAATAAACAAGCATAAAAATAAACTATTTTTATTTTGCGTTGAAGCTGAATTGAAATATCTCGTTTATTCCAATTAGGTAAACCTGAACTTCAACCGACCGTTTGCTTAAAGCTAGACTCCCTCAATAGAAAAAGTCTGAACGAATTGAGCTAATCCATTAAAAACTGTATACATCTTGTTTTTATTATTACGTTTGTTTTTACAAGAAGCGCACAGAAACTTAACGTACTTTAAAAGCGAGTACGTATACATGAATTTTACCCCAGTCGCAATTGAACTTCCTCTTCCCACCGAACCAAAATTCTTTAAGCAGTGTTGTTTGCAAGATTGAGACGTCCAAGAAATTCTAATATTTCTGGAAAACCTGCATATTCAATATCGGACTTGATTCATTACTTCTTCACCTAACAAAATTTACCTAAATAATCAGTAATCCGTCAGTATAGTTTTAAATTTTAACATTGTTTACATCCGATTATTATATTATTGTGGTTAAACAGAACTATGTGTATACACATTTCCTGTTTGGTGTGGCTGGAGCAAAATTTGTTCTAACTACTAAACTAAGACCTAAATTTATGTCAATATGTACAGCACATTGACGAAACATTGTTGAACCAACTAGTTTCCCCATATTAGCCGCGACATTAGATAATTTACTTTGGACCAATGTTGGAGGTTAATTAAATAGTTGCGAAGCCCATTCATTAGTGAAACCAACAATAATTAACCCGGTGAAACTTAAATATAAGCAACAGACAACGTTTCCAGCCCATTACTTACTCCTGCCCGGTTGAAGGATTATCAGTGCGCATTAGATTACACCAACTATGTTTAATTATTTTAATTTATATGCATTTCAAATGTTGAATTCTTACTTTGGTTTCAGATCCTGAGAATATGGACGCATCTGATTTACAAAGAAAATTAGAAACCTTAAACAAATGGATAGACATGGAGGCCAGAACTGAGCAGGCCAACAGACACTTCAACTTCATTGGTAGATGTAAGTAGACTATTTTTAGTTTAAGAAAATAGTTTCATTCGCTTCATATTCATTATTCATGTTCGCATTAGTCGATATATCAGTAGAAGTACAGTGTGTCCAGTAAGCACATGATTAAAAGGTTGCTGCGACCTTCTTTGACTCAAAATCAGAAAAATATCTGGCTTCTAGGCCATTGATGGCCAAGTTCTTCTAAAACGTATATTTTTCCACAATCTAATCTAATTAGTTTCATAATTTGATCATCCCTATTTCAAATCAGTGTAACCGAATGCATATTACATGCAAATCTAGTGTAAGTTAATTAATTTAATTTTCTTTTGGCTTTTGTTCAGCTCAGTTAGTTATATGTCGGGTGCCGCACACAGAAAATGCTACTTTTCCCGGAAGATTTACATTGGTGCAAATTTACTAGAGAATTAATTTAGAAAAATATATCTACTTTAAAAGTGAACGGCTAGCAAAAGTTTGTGCGTCAAAGTTAAAGTTAGAAATTCAAAATTAATTAATTATTTTGTTTGTTATGCGCGTTAGAATCCGCCAACAAGGCAAAGCGTCTTAAATCATATTTTTTATTGCTCATATATGTCAATCATTTATGCAGAGTTTCGTTGTCAAAATATTTCCTAAGGAGGGCTTTTTTATAGGAGTATTCTCCAGGCATTCCATGTTGACAAATTATAGGTTAAAGTTCGACTCATCTCCATCGACTTCGTAGCGTGAAGCGGAATGGTAAACTATTTGCAAATGCAATTTTAGCTAATATGTATTTCTCTAATAAAGAATTGTCTTTTTTATTGTTCCCTTATTAAATGTTCAAATGGATCTCCGTGTACGCCCGTACAAAGAGTTATTAGACGTACAAAGACTTTACGTCTTAAAATATCCTCTGAAATTTGAAAACTTTATTGCGGACCTCTGAATATACTATATATTTTAAAGCTCCTTCATAGAGTGGCGTTTTACGGTTCAATGAGTTCAGACACATGAGACTTTGGCCGTGAGACTTTGTAATAAAAACAAACTTACTATTACATTTTTATTTTAGAACAGCGCTTATTACATATTACATCAGAGTCGATATTACTGCCCAAAACATCATTAATATTGTAGTAGCAATATTTAGAAACAGTGACAAATGCAACAAAAATTGGTGGCGTTTAAACTCCGACTGTTTCCATTTCTTGACAATTTATTATGGAATAATAAGAAGCATTTTAATAAAGTGATCGTTAAGACTGATTAGCTTCTTACAAACCTTTGCGAGAAACACAGTTTTCGGCGTTTATAATTCTACTTAAAAGAACGAGGTGTTGCGCACCTTTTTTGTAATTCTCCACAAAAAGTTCAGATTCAAAAAAGTTTGAACTGCTTCTGTTTACATTAATTAGTAACGCCTGCGGTCCCAATTGTAAGGCCAGCTTACCAACTTGCGTTTTTTTGGGTCGTTTTCGTTATTATTTATTCAGAATGTTTGGAGCTCTTCGGGGGGAACGCTGACCTCTTGCTATTTCGCACCGTTTATGGSAGGTTGGGGTTTTTGCGGTGTMGAAATATATGTATTAAGTGCATTAAAAATGTTCATTAATTACAAAMTTATTATTAAATGTGACAACTTGGTTTTTGCGCCAAAGTGTAGTTTGTTAGATTGAAAATAACAACCTGAGTTCTTGAAAATAACATCCTGCCCGTGAATAAAACTTTTCATATAAACAAATACAACGACAATTCATCGGYWCAAAATAAATCGACCGAAAAAAMGGACTCTTAGGTTATATGAAATTGATGGGTGGCTGGCATCCGTAATCCGACAAAATTTTGGCGAAGAAAATGGCGATAATCTGTCAACGTCGCAWKTAWGCAAAAAACARTTTACGGTGCATATGTAACGTTTYAAGCTGCATTTCATGAGCTGATGAAARATGGGTARTTCTATTTAAAAAAATACACTTTGATCTTGCCTCGCTTTTCTGAGACACTCTGTATCATATAAAATATTTTTAAAATGTCCGCACTTTGTGCGTCAACAACTTTTATATGAAACTATTTTTCGAAAGTTCAATATCAACGGAAATAATGGACTCTCTCGCCCTAAAAAAMCACTCTGTATATGAAAAAAAWTATTAATAYATGCTTACAAGGTAACTGAATAGATTTGATCAACTCTCTAATAGTAATACCTGAAATGTCCCCGTCATCATCATTTCTTCATCCCATCGCACTCATCATTTTAAAAATGTATTTACATCTATTGATTTGATTAGTTGTCTATCGCGAAAATTCAAGTCAAATCAAAAAGTCGGATGAAAATGCATTTTACGCTTCTATTTTACACACTGTCTCCCACCCTACCCCTCTATTCTGTTTCTTTTTCAGCCAATAGTAATCACTTTGACAATGACATTTCAGCGGGATATTCGGAGGATAGCGATTACACATCCGATCTGAATTATCCAGTTGGACAACATGCGAATTCTTCCGCGTCTCAATTCCGCACCGCTGCTCATCAATTGAACACGCCTCAAAGATCGCTCGAAACGAGTCGAGAGAACTCGTACGAGCGAGAAGAGGGCAGTGGTGCCCAGTATTTGGTCACACAACCGATAATACATCAACATCATTTAAGTCCAGGCGGTCATCGGAGGACCCAACAACAATCCTCAAAGGTAAATATACATTCCGCATGAATGTTATTAGTTCACTAATAGCGACTAATTGACTTAATGACATAATTATACTAAGGAGTTGAGGTGCTTTATTGGACTTTTTCCATGACAATAAATAAATGCACCAACTCACAATAGTCTACTGAACACTATCTTGTAGCTTAGTATGGAATGGAAACAAATACTTTTACTTTGATGACAATTTCTGAGGCTTTACCTGAAGTGTACATAATTTTCTTGGGAATAGTAGTCGAACGTTTTCAATTTCCATCTGAAAGTTGTCGTTTTCATTGATTGTTAAAATGCGGCAATTGTGGGTCCGACTAACCTGTTCTTTCGTCGTCAGTCAAAATGCGCATAAAATATTTATAAAATTTTAAGTGTTTTGGTCACGGTAAGAGTTTTACGGAGATATGAAACGGTCAGATGAGGGTGTATTGATAAATTCAAAAAAAAAAAAAGTTGCTTGAGGGAATACCGCTGAAAGTTTGACAGAGACACTGAGTGTGTTATACTGGTAGTTCAGAGATGTCACATGTGACATTAAGATGAATATTTCCTTCGTATGATGATCTGTACGTTTGTACGTAATGTACAGTCTGTACGTAATTGCACAGTGTGCAATTATCCCTCAACGATAATTGCATTGTTTATGAAAATTATTTGACAGGTGTCTTTTCCTGTTGAATTAGACATCAAATGCCATCCGGACATTCCTAAGTTATTCAAATCATATTTGTTATTTAAACTTAACAAAAATGTCTCGTTTTGGTGTCAAAGTTGTTGCTGCGACCGTGCCCACGAATACTATGAACAATCAAAAGTATATYTGGCGGCAGTTAAATAATAATATCAACAATAAATATATCTAGCATTTTGTGAWGAAAGACGTTACAACTTAAGTAAAGACACTACAGTGCACCAAATTGCAAACATTCTACAAGACTGGGCGTTCAACATGAAAAGATAGAATGGTGAGGATGTTAAAGAATATACTATAAAAACTATTTGGAATGTTACTGCTAAATTACTAATGGATAAATACTACTATGAACATAACGTTCGCTTTAATCCGTTTCAAGACATCGAATTTAAATTGGCTCGMGAAGCTAAAAAYGCAAAASKGAWGGAGCTACAAYGAGGAGCCCCAGAAAAGAAAAGGAWGCTCTGTTTTCATGAAATATGAGGAATTTAAKAAAATGGYCGAAAGCTGTGATGAAGACACTCCAGGTGGTCTGCAAAARAAACTATTCTTTGTGTTATGCTATGAATTAGCATGGCGTGGAGGAGAAGGATCGAGATRCTTGACAACATATTTCAAAGAAGTTGACAATGTAGGCGGAAAAAGCGGAAGAGTTGAATATAATCCAATATTTACCAAAACGACACAAGGTGGGAGGGACCATGCGCATCATTGAAGTGGTTAATTCGTAATCGAATTAATTCTCAGATTTTCCCAGTTCGACTCTTTCACAAATTCATGCAGAAGAGGTCAAATATCAAAATAAACCGTCTCTTTTTAATAATGAACCCTGCTTGGAAAACGAGTGAATGGTACAAAAATATACCTTCTGGTAGGAATACGATCAGTCAGTGGACTAAGCAAGCAGAAAAAAGCAGGTCTAGCTACTGCCTCAAAAAAACTGACAAATTATTCTCTGCGAGCAACAGCCGTTTCAAAATTGGCTAAGAAAGGGGTTGGAGAACAGCAGTTAATAAAAATTACTGGACATTTGAACACCAACTCAATTACACCATATCTCCAAATGGATGATGAACATCATCTGCAAATAATTGAAAAAATGAGAGACAATGATGGTGCTGAGGTCCAGCCAAAAATGTCTGAAACAGCGGTATCTTCAGAATGTTCTCCATCAAGCGTTTCTGCAGTTCCCGCCAAACCAGGTGGGGCAACCGCTAAAAGTAACACATATTTTAACTGCACATTTAATTGCAGCTCTTGCAACTTTTAGAATAGGCTTTTTTAGACAATAATGGCAGCAATAATAGTGTAACTTTTAATAGAATATCAAAGTAATAAACTGAAACCACATTAACTTTGTTTACTCAGGAAATATTCAGAAAAATTACACTCGTGCTTGTTGTCTTGTAAAAACTGCATTTGCTTATTTTCACATTGGAACGAAAAAGCCGTCCTCCTTCGGAGTCGGGCTTTTTCGCCACAATATGAAAATAAACTCATGTAGTTTTTAGACAACAAGCTTTCATGCAAAATTATCGGTAATTTTGAAGCACTTGTGCAATTAGCCCCGAAAATTATATAAATTTTCACACTTCCGTGTTTGTTTCATAAAAATGTTTGTTTTTACGCATCAGTGGCATCCCAGTACCCCTTAATATCGTCTTGTTGTAACACTCCATTCAAAATATTTAAAGCGCTTAAATCACGGAAGACAATAAGACATCTGCGATCCAAAGCATCGCTTTAACTGAATAAAAGAACGCGTGTTAAGAAGTTATTTTAAAAAATTTCCAGTCGAATAAACGTGTCGACTATATAAACGTGTCGACTATAGATTTTGCCTGTGTACTGATGTCTTTTGGGAGTTCGCTGCCTCTTTTAAGCAGTTTATAAAGCAAGCTATTGAATCGGACAAAACTATTTTTCACCTACAATCTATTTTTAGCCTATAAGAAAGTTATATTAATATCGATTGCCATCAATTTTGTCATTATTTTGTCGTTAGTTTAAAAAACTAGACATAAACACGGCGGGGAATACAAAAGAAGTTATGACTACGTGGATACCAGCTACATAAGAATTAATTTAGTACTGTAACTGTAATTTTCAGTCAAGTGTTTTTTGCTCTAATATCAAATCCGGATCAGAACTGACTCCACTATCTTGCAGCCATTTAATTCCGTTTAAAAACCACCTACTGAATTCTGGCATTCAGCCATTTAGTTTTAATTAGATCGTCAATAATTGATGAAAATATGAACATGTTTGTTTGTTCGTTCGAAAGTTTTAGGAACTCGCGTCTGCTGAATTTGACATTTTGTAACATATTAACATTTACATAGGTTTTGACTAGGTTTCTAAATTAATAATCAGAAAATTCGGCTGTGCTTTAAAAAGTTAAATTTTTCACAAATTATTTTTTATTGACTGCCAAGCTTCTTTGCTAAATTCAATTATTATCTTGGTCGCAATACGATTGAAAAACCAGAATTTCAAAAGCAGGTCCATGTTCACAATCCGTTGAAGAGGAAAGATAAAACTGAACTTTAAAAAATATATTATGGTTTCTTAAAAATAATACGTTAAAGCAAAAAATGGTTAGTCGAGTCTTTAACTCGAGTTGCTGTTGCTACACACCAACCCCAAAAAGAGAGCCATACTGGTGAAATTAGAGAATCTTGTTTTGTTCCCAAAAAGTCAGTTAATAGGTCATATAGTGTTTTAATTCCTCATCATTTTCCTCATTTAACCAGCTTCAGTAGTGGATATACTGGCTCATTTTATATTGAATACATTGTATACTACACTAAACCTGTTTTCCATCTCTTCACAATTCAAGATTATGTATGTATCGATTTGCTTTGGCATCACGTCTGAACATCCATTAAATTTGATTTGAAAAACGTAAAATTTGGTGTCTTTTGATTTTAGAGGTTTTCTCCAAACATTGACGACTACAATTCCTACAGCAGCAATATTCCAGGAGGGACTTTGCGCCACTATGCGGAGAACAACATCGACTCGGATCCGTTGTTTTATAACAGCAGGCCCAGAAGCAAACCAGATATTTTCAGGTACGAGAAACTGATAATATTTACTCTATAGAGAAGTAGGAAACTGTCTCAGGCATCGGGACATATCGTTGTATGTGACATATGGCTATATTGGCGCGTCCGAAGGGTTTGGAAATATTTACGTTAATGTTTGACTGAACATTTCGAAACCAGAAGATGTTGTCTGACTGACAATATTGGAGGAATATAGAAAAAATTCACAATCACTACGCGTAGTGCAAATGCGTAACTTCACTGGGACTATTTTACCATTCGATGCACTGATTCCAAACTCACCAAGTGAAAACTCACTCGATAAACTTGACTAAGCATAACGTTTGTAAAAATATGCGTATCTAGTTAAATCTATCTATTAAATGAAAATGTGTTCTATATTTGTTATGATTTATGCCATACAATTAAACTTCTAGGTCTTTCACATTAAAACGTTCTAAGTTTTAAGTGCCCATACTAGATTAATTATGCACACACAAAAGCTATACGGGAACCTTGAAACTTCTAACAAACTTTCCGTTTACTCTGTTAGATTTCAGATATCTTAAGCACTTTTACCTTTCTATTTACGATACTTCACCATTTGCATATTTCCTTCATGGGAATTTCGTTTCTTTTTGTTTGAGGATGCAAATTAGTTTATTTGACAAGGTTGCCCTTATTGATTGAACCTTGATAACCTTTCGGTGAAATGGAACTGAAAATATTATTAATCGTTTAAGTTTACGATTTACTATATCCGTCCAAACGCGGTTTAAATCAGTGCAATAAAAAAAGGAGTTGTGGAACATCAAAGCAGAGATTTATAAGGGATTGTCCACCTTTTCTCTTCTATATAGGTCGATGCCGAATATCGACTTGATAACAGATTTTTTATCTCAGTACGTGGCGCTTTTATGTTGTGCAATCAAACAGCATTTTTCTAAATAATTACTTTTGCTTGATGCTTTTATATCTTGGTAAGGCCTCCATTCTTCAAGGTTTGATAATCCATATTGGTATTAAACTACATAAAATATTTAATTTTGGTGTTCAATTCTTTAGGTTCTAAGATCAACATTTTCAAACTTGTTTGTTTATTAAAAAATCAAATTAATAAGTACAATTAAGTATATTTGCTTCTATTAGGTAATAGGTCTTTCACCAATTGCCCAATTTCACAGTAATAACCTTTACATTTTTTACCATTTTTTTTAACGGTTTGTATTGTTTTTATTGTATTATTTTTGGACGCATCAGTCGCCACGCACAACAACAGCAAACAATTTGCAACAAAACAAAAACAACCATTTATTTGTAGACATTCAGTTTACATTTTCTAACAGCCCATTTTAGCGCTTTCATATCACTTCTGTTAATGTTGCGTTCTTGCATTTTAATTGATAAATTTGACACTTTCTCGTTTAATTAGGTATAACTGAGTAGGTCCTCTTCTGAAAACGAATTATGTTTGGTACAAAATACCTGTTAATTTCATTATCATTTCCAAGATGAACACACATTCCACACAAATGGTGTAGTAAATAGATAGAGAGTCTTCGTATTAGCTGAGTTTCCTTTTCAACACAGCTGGAGTGTCAACATTTGCGGTGACGTAGTAGCTAACTTATTGGTTCCAAATGCTCCGAAAAACGGAGTAGAGGAAAACTTTTCTAGACGAGGGGATCATATATTACTGTGACATCTTCARTAAAGCGTTATTAAATAGATACAGGTTTTCGCCAATTTTTACGTTAAACTTATAAATAATTTTATTATTGCTTATATTTCAAGGCGAGTAGAAAACCTCGAYTGTTCATCAACCAGAAATCAAATTCTTTGATAATACTMAAAAAAAAATGTCCAAAATATTCTCTTATTGTACCACGACCGCATTTAAATTGTTAACATCATATTGATAATTCAGTGCRGTCAGCTCTATAATTTGAAATATGACCGATGTTCGATTGAAATGAAAATACCACGATYAACTTCGGTTCCCGTAGAACGTTTTATATTTAATCAGCTACTCTTAATTTCGATCTCAAATTAATGCTCAATGGTTTATTCAAAGCTTTAACGAGCACTGAAATAATRAATGRACATTTTAAGAAAATACTCATCCCTTACAATATAAAGTCCATGATGCTTCAATATCAACTTGATTGTAAAACCTTAGATACTAATTGGTACTCAAATATTGACTTGATAATTCTCTTTAAAGCCGACGGCGAAATTATCAAAGGGAAAGCGAAGAAAGGTAAACATAGTAGTAAACGCTATCTAGATTCTTCTTCACTCCTACGCACTATTCTAGGCACATTATTTCAAGCTTAGCAGCTTATTCACCAATACCAACTTGTTAGTTTCACACTAATATACAGTGCCATACTATCTAATTGTCAATACTTTTGCAATACATAATTTTACCCACTCTTATACAGCTTAGTTATATTTCCGTGTTAAGTACTGAAACTGTTTTATTTGCAGTCAAGATGTCTGGCAGAGCTGCGAAAGCTCTTTCTACAACCAAAGCATGGATAGTGTGGATGCTGCTTTATCTGTGGATCCAGTTTGTTATGGAATTCAAGCAGCAGTTAAGAAAGGTACTTAACAGCTTCTTTTAATTTACCACAATTTTCCTGCTTTAGTGGTATCGGTTACATATTAGGAGTGCTTTCAAATGTGAACAATAAGTATTCTTCGAGTTTTGCAAATGCATTTTGCCAGCGTCTGCTTGATATTCTTTCGGACCAATTACTGTTATGTGTAAAATTTAAGTTTGTGCATTGTAGGCATTAAATAAACGTGACAAAAGCGATAACTGCAGATCTTTTCGTAACTTAACCGACTTTGTATCTTTTACGGTTTTGGAGATCCCTATGCAATGCATCCTTAACTTGGACACCCCATTTTTCCCCATTTTTTCAGTTTTTTGGTTATGGCAAAAGCTGACCAGAAAATCTTAAAATTTTAAGCGGCTTGCCATTAAATCTGATAGAATAATGTGACTAATAAAGCAGCAATGAATAATGTGAAATAAAATTTATTTCACCAATAATGTTATCATAAAGTCATGTCGGTAAAGTTTCATAGTTTCGTTGCTTTTGCTTTCGCTGCTTTCTTTGTAGCAGTTTTAACTTCTTTAACTGGTTGCGATGAAGGTACTTCGGTTTTGTTTTGTTTGGTCTGAAGTGCGACCACATCCTTCGCTTTCTTTTGTTCTACTGGTAGTTCATCTGTAAATAAATATAAGGACTGGAGTCAATCAGTCACCGTGTATAAGCTTGAATTTTCTTTTAGAATTTCCAATTGTCGAATGATAGGAAATACTGAGACAATAACAATTTCAGTTTAGTTTAGCTCAACTGGGAACTGGAATGTAGAGCTCAAAATGTGTTGCCGTGAATTAGCACTTTTATATCTTATTTAAACCATATACAGAATTTTCATGTCAATACAAATCAGCTAAAATAGTTACTAAATTTGAAACATGAAATTTTTTACTCAAACAAGTAGATTTTTCTTGCAGTCGACGACTAAAGGACGTTTCGACGACTAAATAAAAAATTTGTAGAATTTTGGTGTCTCTTTGAATAGGACTCCCGGCATATAATATTACCGAACAGTGAATGTTACCTTATTTTATGATACGAAAATGGAGCATAATAAATTTTGCTTAATTCCAACAACTAACCTTTGGGCTTTTTACCAGTTTTTTGTTTCTTTCCGGTCTTTTCTTTTGCAACTTCGCGTTGAACGCCTTTCGTCATTATTCAAAAACAGGCGCACGAAGGTAAATTGCAAAACTTATGAATTTTTGGAACTGTGACTTTGATAGACGCAATTCACCAGTAGTTTATTTGTGGTTACCCGACAACCTTGTTGTTGCAGTAGAAAAATGGGGTTGTTTAAAACTAATATGCGATTTTTAATTAGACCTAGAATCCAGAACTTTGTGCGTGTTTCCTATATTGTCTACCGCTGAAGTTTTTTACTCTTTCCTGATTTTCCAGTGGCAGGCTGTTTGGTTCACTATATACTGTTCTTTTGCTATGCTTCATCCCAATTGGGGCACAATTTTTTTTTATAATCTCTCTGAAGCAGGAGACAAATATCGGTCATATGGGTCTACAAGAGAGAGAAAAAACTGTAGAACACACATTTTAGGTACAATTTGGGCAAAATAATGCTTCTGCAAGTAGGAGGGAAACTTGCTATATACATGTTGTAAATTTAAGCACTTCTTGACGAATCATAAATCTGATGTAATGCCACAGGCAACCGACTAGTCGAGAGTGTTCAGAAATATTCGAAAAAAATATATTCAGGAAACAAGGACGGCAAAACCAAAATTATTTGCAGAAATGGAAGACAGGCAAAATGCCATCAGACTGACTAAAGTTAAAGTTTCTTTACCAAAGTCTTAATGAGTATCACATAAGTCTGGGATATTCCGAAACAGACTCTGGATATGCGCGAAAGTGCGATTCCAAATCTGATACTGGTTTTTGTGCGACTCAGAAAAAGACGATCATTATCAACTAATAGACAATGAAGCGCAACGCAGCAGTAAGCAAAAAACCTCTGAACACCTTTATGAAAAGGAAAATGCAAGTTCTGTGTGAACAAACTACTTCACCCCGCCAATATAGCTAATGGAAAGTCAGTAGGAGAATGCCAGAACTCATGCCTGAAAAAAATTTCATGCCGGAAGATTGTCCATTCACAATTTTGGTTGATTTATTTTCCAGTGTTATAGTACTATTTATTTACTTAGTTCTTATAATATGTATAACATAAACAAAAAGACCTTCCAATTGAATTAAACTTAATTAAGTTTTCGACACATGTGATTATAATTAAATGGTTTTTGATAGCTTTACGATTTTTCCATCTCCCACAACATTTCCAACGTTGCAATTAGCTTCACGGGATACTCAAAGAAAAGTGTTTTTTGCAGTTTCCAATTCATAATACTAATACTAAACATAAAATCAGCGTTGGCCACTTGAAGAATGTCTCTACATTCTTCAGGCTTTTTCTCTTCGGGTTGCTTGTAAATATAACGGAAAGACGTAAATTCGTACTACATATTAAAATAAAACCGTTTTCTACAGAGTATTTGCATACACCAATACAAAATCTCAAAATGAAAAAAATGAAAAGTGAACCTTGTAGATTTAGGAATCAGCTTCTGGACAATAAAATACAAAAAATAGTTTAAAATTTTAAATTGCGTGCCTCCATAACTAAAGCTATTGCTGTAAAATATAATTAAATGCAGTGCATAAAATTTACCACTCAAAATGCAAAATGAAAAATTTACCCAACGAAAGCTGATTATGCTGATAATCTTCAAAAACTGAATCCATTTGTATTTCAATTTGCGGAATTTTTCATAGAAATTTAGTATTATACACATTTAAGATTTTGTAGATAGGCAGGACATAAAGTTTCCCTTTTGATCTGGATCACGTTTTCTATTTGTAACACCCTCTCTTAATAATACACCGAAATTTTGTTCTAGCGTTGAGGAGACCAAGTTTGGAGAGACAAACGACTTTATATGATGATGCAGCATGTTATGACACTGGCCAAACCACGTTTTATACAGCGGCTGAAGTCACTCAAGTTAACTACGTTAGCAGGCAAGTTAACTTCATTTATGTAAAATGCTTTAGCCTAATGAATTTTTAAACTTTTAGTTCCATTTCGTTCAATCAGAACCAAAGCTGCGATGAATATTACGACAGCTCTTCATTTCCCTTTCAAGAAGAAATGTACGGGCAGGACCAAGAGGATCGCCAATGGGACTCGGGAGGGAACGTCTACAATGAAACTGTTCCAATGAGCAAATCTGCGGGAAAATCTGGTAAAAAACTGCCCGCAATTCCTCTAGCACAAGGGCACAAGCGGAGGTCATCCACAGCGGCGATGGATGAAGGGTAAGAAACTGATTTTGTTAATTATTTACTAAGCGCTATAAAGTGAATTAAATTGTTGAAGTTGAAGATAACAGATGTGTCTCCCGACCTCGTCGCTATTGTCTAAAGTTTCAGGAATAATGCGAAAATCTGCACGATTTCTCTTTAATAAATGTTCATGCATTTCACCCATTGTTCTCAATTTTAAGTCTAGCCAGCCCGCCTTGAAACTGTTTTAATATTTCTGCGCTTTGAATAGAACTGTTTCTGTGAACTATCTACTCGCAAACGACCAACCTAGGTACACCATTATTTACACTGAAAGGCTTCATAACGTAACGTTTATGGTAGTTTCCTCTATTTGACCCATTTTTGCATTCAAATACGCTGGAAATCTGGCGGCCAAAATTCAAAAGTTGAATTTAATTGTCTTGCTTATCTGCGGATTGTTCATCTTCTTTTAAAATAGCCAACAAATACGTAACGTTTGAGCTCAATTAATTCAACCTATATTACGTTAGCTTTGTTATGCGAATTATAACCTGTATATGTACCTGACTGTTCAAAAAACTAATTTTTTATTTATTTATTTACTATTTATTTTAATTTATTGCTAGCAGATTGAGCTGTAGTCTAGAACAACCTTTTCCATTAAAATTTCAGTTAGAGAAGAATGGTCCTAAATATTTTCAATTTTTACTTAAACAAACTTTACTGCTAATATTACAATTAATTTTTCACTTTTGCTACTACTTTAGATATATATTAGTCAGTTTGATTGAATAATTCCAACTGTAATTTTTAAACGACAATATTTCGTTCACATCACAGTATTTGTCGTTTTTTCCAGCGATTGATGTAAATTTGTGCAAATTTATTGGTTGTTTTGTAGCAATTTTACCACATGCGATTCAGGAAGTAGAACTGATGGTTATAGTTCCAGTATTTAATGGAAAAATTTTCTTTTAAATTTGAGGCTTGCCAGTTTTTACTTGCCATGAAGCAAATCAAATAGTCTTTGACCAGATTTTCTAATTTTACTGCTGTATTTGGTTGTAAACAGTTATGAATTTGTTCAAAGTTCACCAATTTTACTGCCCATAAGTCCATATTTTTGTTTGAATTAGCAATTCACTCTCGACGCAAAGTTCGTTCAGAATGTCTCCAGAATTCAGCAGTGTTCAATATTCCCTTTCTTCAAAACATTTTCAAAATAAAAAATGTCCTGAAATTGTCCTAAAAATATACCGAAGAAGATGTTGCTGATTTATGCTCACATCAAGGAAAATGAACTGATTGCATATTTCTCAGTGTTACTCATTTTGCGTTTTATAGAACGCAATAAAAAAAATTCACAATCTAATAATCATACTTAAATTGAAACGTCTCTTTAAAGTCTACAACAGGATCTGTTCCTTTGAGCATTTCAGTACTAAATCATGGCTCTAATTCGCTTAATAATTCAAGCAAATTGTTGTTCTAATTTTTCCGATTGAAAGCGTGCCGACGTTGTTGGAAAACGTAGGCAATTTGTCTTCCTCATTAGTCCCTTTTGTTCAGCTCATACAGCAAAGTGATGAAACATCTCTTTCATACGTTTCCATTTCGTTGGATATTTAGGGGAAGGAAAAGTTGAAGCTGTGCGTTTGACCTAATTTTATTAATGACATTTCAAGAGGTTTTTAATTATCATCCAGAATATTTCTGTAACGGCACCTAAAAAACCGAAATATTAGGATCGACTATTAATACAGCATTTTCGAACCGAGAGTACGTATGGATTGCATATTTGGTTCGTTAACAATTTGGAATAACTTCCCATAAAAATCCATGAAATCTCGCAACGCTTTCAAATGTCTTCTATGTATCTTTATCTATAAAACATATTTTTGTTAACGGTTGCAACTTTTTCTAAATGTCTTAGAAAGTGTAAAATAACAATCTACTTAAAACATTTTTCCTATTAACCGAACCATTTAGACTAACTCATTAACTATTATGTAACGATCACTTGTAAAAAAACCTAAGTACTAAATCGTATCTCGTTTGAATTTTTCTATTTATTTTGCTTCAGCGTGCTTATATTTATCAAATATATGTATTCTTGAAACTCGTTTTATTACAATTTATTTTGCTTAAATATCCAAAACAATTATACGTCTATGGGAATATTTTGCGATTAAAATTATTCCTGTTCGTTGAAGGAAACACGGAAAAATTACACTCTCACTTAATTATATATTTGTATATTCTTATAGAAATGTATTGCTCACCACACATATGCCAAAAAATTATGGTTCTGCTGATAGCAGTCTGTATGGTTCAGAGATGTTAAAATAGTGGAATATTTACTACATTTACAAAATCATTTTCTTAATTGAATTATTCCAAGAAATTTAAAAGTAATACGATATTTTTAATCGACTTATAAATTCGACTTGATTTTAACACAGTAAAATGGAAAAATATTATAATTAAGTCAAACAATTCTCAACTCCTAACAAAAATTAATTTAGTGCATATGAATTTCAATTCTAATACCTTCCCGACTAAATATTTTGTTTGTGCTAACTGCCTAAACATTTTTTGATTTTTCGCTATTTGAAATTCTATTTAAATACTGATCTTTTTAATCAAACTATAAAACTCATTTATTTATAAAAACAAGTTAATGCAAAGGAATATTACTTCAATCCTTGAGACGTTCGATACTTCCATGTTTAATAGATCACAAACATCTAAACTTGTGCCAGTTGTTTAAATTATTTTGCCACGAAAAATTGAACTATTTTTACTTTCAACACAGGTAATTATTTCCTTTTAAATAATTGTTTGTAACTAGCGATTAGTTGAAACCATTTATCTACAAGAGCTGAAAATCCTAGCTAACTGTTGCATAAACAGAATAAACTGGTAAATCTAGCCAGGAAAGCTTTCTAGCTAAAATTAATCTTAGTCGTAGCAAATTCGCGGAAAACAAAATTAAGCTCAAAATGGAATAGTAATGGATTTTAATGCTTTTACAGTTGGAGAGGTTCTAGTTACGAAGGGCGTGATATAAATGAGACGGAAATAGCTCTAATTAGAAATTGCTCCTAAGACCCATTAGAATATGTTTCTCGTCTCATTATATTTACGTACCTTTCTAGTTTTAGGGTTACGTTTTCTGTAACCAACATTTGCTGGTGTGTACACACTTTATAGAATTGATTTCGTAGAGGGAAACGCATAGTTAAGTTTGCAATGTTATTTAATAAATTACAATTTAAATTACCCACGGCAGTAATTTATAACCAATAGTTTTTGGTATCACAAAAACACGAGTTCGAGCAGAATCATATATCAACCCACAGGTGATTATTATTACGAATCACAAAAATGCATTCTCTTTATTTGCGTATGGAAATATATGTGGTTTATTAGTTTACATTTTTAAAATGTGTTTAATTTTTTTCAGTAAATCGTTTTCTTACTTCCGCTAATTCAAAATTCAGTGCTTATTTTAAAGAACAACTGTGTCAAAGTAATGGAAATGCCATCAAAGATACACTTTAATGTGGGAAATCAGGAATAAATCGGATTTTTTTTCAATTGGGGAAAATCCATTGCCAACAGTTTTCTGAAAAAAGTTACAAGCACAATAGAACCGCATAACAGTTTTATATAAAAATAACTACATATTTGTAGGTACATGGGATATGGCGATGATAACTTCCGACCTTCCATAACAACTCCTTTGGGTAGAAGGAAAATGCCTCAAATTCCCACTAAGCGGAGTTCGAGTCGTCAAAGCTCGTACACTGAAGATAATTTGAAAACATTCGAGACGCCTTCACATCGAGGAGCTAGCCTTCCACCAACCCCAACAAGGAGCTCCAGGTACGAAATTTTTATTTATCTTAATAGCAATTTCGTTACTTTTTGATTGCCGATTGTGAAAATTTATTTGTTTGCTCTTGTTATGTGTTACACATTCTGCATTTTTTACTTCAGAACTTGGAAACTTGAGCTGTTTTTCTATCTGCTGTCTACCAACTGCTAATATCGATAAATGAAATTTTTCAACAACATTCAAGCTTCAAAATTTTAACATTTTAATATATTTCGTTTATAAATTTTAAAATCGTTTCCTAAGTCTCACCAATTTAATAATTCGGTCACTGACAAATTTCAACATATGTATTCAAGTATTGATGCTGCTAATGTAAAATAATATGCAGTGCATATAAAAATACAAGCCTTCAAAGTGTTTTTGGTATAAAATATTTTGTTGCCATGCTGAGCGAATTAATTGTCATTCTACCAAAATATTTTGTTGATATTAGCTACTTCGTTTCTATTCTGCTTATTTTTATCCTCGATTTAAATTACTATTAGCTTCTTCTCACTTAGAATTTACTATTTTGGGGCTTGTAAAGACTCTATGAGGCTTTAAAAGAACGCGTCGACTTGCTCATGCTCCAGTCATAATATCTTTAAATCTCAGCTAAACAGAAACTTGGTTTTAGTTACTAATTAATCCAAATTGACGCTCAAAGCTTCCCATTTGAACTTTTTGAAATGCTCTTAGAGCAATCGATTAATCGAATTTCCTTTCACATTTCGCTAACAAATAGAAGCAAAAAAGCTTAACTTTTTTTAAAAGCTATAATTTAATTGGCACGTTCTGACAGAACACGTAGTGCCCTTTTCAGACCTAATCCTATTATTGCTGATAGTCTTTTTTCGAACTACATTTAAGATTAAAGATACTAAGATCATTGGATGTCCGGGCCAATTAAGTATCGATCGTATCTAGATGTTTGTAATAAAAACACTCAGAGGTTTTTCACTTGTGCCTTTTCATTCATTGCTACTCCATATAAAACATTTATTTTTATTCTAATGCAATTTTATTTATATATACCTCTAGTTAACATTTTAAAAAATTAGCCAACTTTAACTGCAAGTTTCAATCCAATTAGAAATGTAACATTGGCGACATTCCTTTCAGCTTTTAACTTAAGCAAATTACAATTTTCCCGGGATTGGGAGATAGAAATAGCTCAGCAATATCGCGCAAGTTCTATTTGCCCTAACAATTACATTTTTAATTGAACTGAAGAGAGACTTTCTGAAGATAGAGGTAGAAACCATTTCTGATACCAAACAAGATATTTGATCTGTGCATATGCTTGTTCATTATAAAATCCTGTAGCATTTCGCTTATGAACGAATATTTAAGTTCAATCTCAATTATCAATAAGCATTAAAAAATGTCTTGCGATAAATGTCCTCTATTTGTTTTCAATATTTTTTTATGTTGTCAGCCTTAAATTATCTTTTTGTCAATCCAAACCGACTAGAGATAAATTATATAAAAACAATGGTGATAATTGTACTATTATCAATTGTAGCAAGGTCTTGGCAAAAGTCCAAATTCCTGCAAATTCGGCTTTCAACAGTCTACCAACAACACCTGGCAGACAGCTGCCGAAACCGGATCCCAACCACCGCAGTGCCAAAGCAATTCGGAACAATCGGATGAAAAGAACCAGTTCTGCAGACTATGGAGAAACTGATACTTACGATAATTACTACATAAGAGCAGGTGAGCTTGTCGCCTTATTTGTTAAAATTTTAATAAAATTAGAATGAACGATTTGAACCATGGATGGGTAGAAGAATTGAAAATAATAATCAAAGTACTGCGAATTTTTGTCAGTCAACAAATATCATTATGAACAAATTGAGACAAGCGGGGCAACATACTTATCAAGAAAAGTATAAAAACAAGCCTTGATTGGTTAAATTTAAAAGGAAGTTTCCAATTTTACAGATTCTGGGATTGACTCTTAATTGCAGCATAAAACATATACTGCAAGTCTTTATGATTCATATTTCGTGTTACATGAAATCCAATCAGCAAATTCGCTCTTGAAGAAAACCGAAAACTGAATAACACCATTAATGTCCATTTAAAACTCACCATAGTTTGTTAGAAATTTTGTAATTATTAATCTCTAGGTATATGTTTTGAATTCATTCAGCAATGSTCAAGTGACGGAATATTAATTTTTTCACAYTTKRGACTGAAACGTTGTYYCTCATTTGTCCGGTAATCACGCAAATATCTTWAAAAATGGGTAAAAGTTTTGCATTATGTGGTTTTATACTATTTCTAAGAGGGTATTTTTRATTTTATAAAAGTGGTTATAAAACATTCAACATCAAATTTACTWTTTTTTTTAAATAAAATTATGATAAATTGATGGCTGATGTGCTAAAGTGTAGCAGTTAGAGCACTTTTGTTTACCCGTGTGATCATATATTYRWGTTCTGATTATATTTCTACATCTAGMMAWGTTWGKGACASTTTKGTTTTAAAACTTCTTTTCAATTCTASTKTKATWACTTCTGTGCCCTACGGAGTTTGATCCTTTTGTTTTCCATTCGATTCTATTATCCATAAGTATATTTGCAGAAACTTGAAACAAGGCCAAATGAATTATTAATCTTGCTTTTATTTTAATAGTTTGTTCCTGTTATGTAATTTGAAAAAGCCATGAAATATTTAATGTGATGGACAAACAAGGAGTTTATTATTTTATATGGTTTGGTTTGTATAATGCTTAATTTAATGAATTTTTTTATGTATCTAAATACAGGAGCAGAAGGCCGATTCGGAGAAATATTGTTCATCTATGTATTCCTGCACGGGTCAAGAATCAATAGTTGAACAATGTAATTTAATAATAACTTGAGGAAGTGGTGCAAACATATTTAGAAATTAATTTTAGTCATTGCTGTTTCAGCAGTAAATAAATAATTCAACATCTTAATCCCTAATTTAAACTACCACTGAGAAAACATTGGTCTTATTACTTTACATGATTATTCTATTCATATTCATCAGAGAGGTATTGCTATGCTAATCGAAGTAAAGATGTTCCAAATTGAGGATTACCAACCGACTATGCGTGGGAGAATGATGAATTTTCGGCCCACGTCTTGGCGATATAATGTATTTAATAACATTGGGAAATATATCGCCGTCAAGAAAAGCCACTTTAGCCCCGATTTATTTAAGTTTTTCTGAGGGTCATTGTTCTCATTTGCGGTTTCCTTCAAACTCAGCATAGCTTATGGAAAAAGTTTTCAGTTGAGATATTGGACACGCAAATGTTACGAGTTGTACGTCTGGCGTCTGAACTTTTCTGAAGTTTTACCAAGAGCTTTATAATTGCTAGGTATATTTTTATATTATTTAGTATCATAGTATAATTTACAGTACGTAGTCACAATGGTCAGCCAATGAAATTAATGCTTAAAACTGACTCGGACTTTTTTTATGATGCGGTCTTTACTGATAATACGATACCTGAGCTATAAATATGTGCGACAATTAAAAAACGTATTTTTGAGTACAATATGGAAGATTTCCGAACAGCGTGAAAAGGTTTAATGAAGAAGTAAAGCTAATCCTGAATTTCCTGTACACAGTAATGCACATGTACAGCTGATAATCATATATAATGCAGCGGAATTACTGATCGAATATCTGATGTAACACGACTTAATTACGTCTGTGTTTATAGATAATATGTACGAGTATAGATGCATCTGAATACAGGGTGTCTGGCTGATGAATAAACTAGTATTAATTACATTTCAACGGTTATATCTAGTCAACATATTCGCAAGTATTGTATGTGTATACATGTGCCGAAAGCGAGGAGTTTTTAGTCAGCAGGTACACACATTTAATAAACAGATAATTTTTACTTGGTATAGAGTTTCCTGTTTTTGGATTTGTCTTTTTTGTTTTGCTGTAAAGAAATATTCCAAAGCATATCTAAATCTATTGCTCGATCTGTCGAATTGATAGCATGACAAATTTTATACCAAATCAGGTTGAACGCCTTATAATACTCGCCAATTATAGGACAGCTTTTGACCAAAATAGTTCCGAGTCAATCTATTAATGATGATTATTAATGATTGGTAATGTTCCTATCTAATTCCGCGTGGTGGAAGCATTATGTAATTAATGATGCAAAAGTGAATAGTTTCCTAACTGGTCTATACCAACCTAACTAGTCTATACAATTTTGAAATGATGCGGAATTTTCTACATTCAGTTAGTGATAAATGTTTTTATACTGTTGCTTTCTGAAGAAGAAGAAGAATAAATTGCTGCCTCTTATGAATTGAAATAAATCGATTTTTTTATTCAAAACGCCTCAATTGCAATTTTTTTTACAATATTAAGATTTCTTTAGAAATGTTGGGAGAAAATTGTGCCGAAAAAATTTTCGGATCGAGCAAATTAAGCTTATAAATAATTATTACATAAACTGTGCGGATGAGAGAGAGGAAGGGTACGAAATTCTATTGCTCAAGGTGTTTGTTTGCTGACGACGGTAACGCTCCCTTCCTCGCAGTGAACCTAATCTGATTAATATTAATTCTTTAAACATTTAGGTATTCAAATTATATAAATCCGAAATCTAACATAGTTTTAAACATCATGGTTTTTTGTAGTTCTATGGTATGGTACACGATAATTAGACATTTTCAGTAAAGTTATCTACACAAGGTCAGGGAGATATTCGGCTTCCAATTCCTACTTACCACAAAAGCATCTCGCAAGTGTGTTTATAGCACGGACGTGCAGAAATACACTATCTTATCCTAAGTTTATCAAAAATGTTATAAACAATTTGTGATATTTTACCGTGTTCCAAAATAAACCTTATAATAATTAGAGTGGGCTTAAAGCTAAAACTGACCATGTTTATAATATCCATTTCTGGAAAATAAAACTTTTAATCCGAGCGAAAAATTATTTATATCAGAATCCTTTTGGACACTTGGTCATTAAAAATATATTTTAGTGCACCCGTTTGTGTGGCATTGAGACAAATATATATTTTTATTACTTGGTCAACAAACCCAAAACAGCAATTTTGGACTTGGTCACTTTTAGCTTTAAACCGACGATATATAAACTGAGTTTCAATCTATAATGCTGTGCCATAAAATCTTACTTTTAGCTTTTACCATAATTAAAACGTTCATCATTGCATACGAAACATTTGAAATAAACGAAAAAAATGACGGACGTAAACCAATAAATAGAAAATAAATTGCGTTTTATTTAATTTCGGCTTGCATTCATTTCGGGCAGTAAGTGCCATTTTAACCCCTGCCTTTTCTTTTGCAGGTGCGGCAAGTGCTCAGAACTATAACGAAGACTATAATTACGCATATCGCAGCATAGAAGACAACCTTCCAGAAGAAGACAATCTTGTAACAAGTTTCGCCGCCACAAAACCTTCCGTCAGTGAAACTAGAACTAGTACCGCAAATAACATTAATAGCATATATTTTAACGCACAACACACAAACACTAATAGTTACTATTCAAAGCAACTAGGTAGCAATAGTCCGCTACTCCAGTTCCAGAACACTGATAGTTTAGAAAGTAAAGATGATGAATTGAAGGAGTCTTCTTTTGAGACAGTTGTGTCGTCAGTGAATAGCAGCAATCAGTACAATCAAGCAAAATCGATACCTTACAGTGACTATGCCAGGTTTTCCATCGTTGATGATGGGGAAAGTAGAACTGCAGCCCATGTGCCTGAAAGCTTTGGAGACCATCATTCCAAAACCAAAGCAATATGTGATACGACTTCGACAACATCAGTCGCTACTACAATGGTAAGAATTTCCTCCGAAATATATGGACAATAAAAACATTTCTGTATCTTATGCAATTACAGTTTTAATGTTCTTGTTCATATTTGATTAGTGTTATTTAGTTTATTAGTCCTTTTGCATATGGTTCTTTTCTAGACTACAACTTTTCTGGGGGAAAAGATCTAATTGCTATAATAGTGCATATTTTACTCCGCACTTTTTTTACCTCATGAAGGGGCCAATTAAACTTCCTCAAAAATTATTGTTTGACAGCATTATTGACGAAACGACCAACAAAATATTTACACTTTGAAAGAAAACATAACTAGCATGTTTGGATTTTAGATGAACAATCAGACTGCATTACGGAACCAAAGAACCATGGTTAAACAAGAATCTGTGGATCATTCGTTGACACATCCCTATCTCAGTCACCAGCAGTCCATCGACAATACTTTCCAGCAAATTTCAAGCTACATTGGGACTCAGATATCGGACCAGAAACGGAATAGTTTAGATAAAAATCAGGTAAGTTAGTCCCAAAAGAAAATTAAAAATCTTAACACAACATAAAAAGCTATTGATTCTGAAATGTGTTTGAGCTTTAAAATAATAGTTTATTCCCAACACAATCTTCTGATTTACACGTTAAGAATGAGGAGGTTTGGAATTGAAAAGTGTCTCTGGTCCAAAGAATTAAAGCTTTAATTATTTTTGATATTTGCTTTAGTCTTCCCAATATCTGAATACATTTTGATACTGCTACCGCTCCTCAAATTGTGCTATTTCACTTCTCTTGATCAAATTGTTTGCACAACTATTTAAAACGGCATTCTAACAAATTAGGTGAATGGCTATCAGCAAAACCAAGTTACTGGGTACACGACGAAACCGATTTCTTCATACGACCAAGACACCAATAAATTTGCGAAAGATTCCGGCAGCTTTCAGTCCAATAATATCAGTGGGTATCCACGAGGAGCTTTGGTTGAACAGTACAGTGAATACGAAGAAGAGCCGTATCTGGAAGCGCAAGAAAGTATTGACAGTTATGTTGATGAAGATGCTGGAAATACTGGTGGTGAGTACTTGATGGGCTGAACCGCATTAATTAATCTTCGAAGAACTTGAGGGCTTCTTCTAGTCTTGGTTGAAATAATTTGTGAACGATATGTGATTTTAGGTGGCCACCAATCTGATTATCCGAAGGCGCCGGTTGTTACTAAAGTGTCCACAAATCAGCATGACTCTCCAGCAAATGATAGCGTTGTTGATGAGGAAACTGGTAGTTTGCGGAGGGGCTCGTCACAGATAACAATTGTAGATCCCTATCATCCTTCGTTGCAACAGAGATCGTCCGTATCTCTAGGCAGACGAACAAGTGATTCTGCATCTTCTCGAAAACTATCAGATAGTTATCCTGGTTTTGAGGATACTCTTGGAAGGAAACCATCAATAGTTGATGCTAGTGGTACGTACTTCAATTAAAACATCATTCTAAATTTCAATAGAAACAGTTTTTTTACAATGTAAAAGATGACTCAGAACTTTTGTCATAAGTGTACTTTCATATCCGGCCCGAACAACAAGTTGTGCCTTTCATTTTTACGTTAAGACATAGCAAACGCACTTTTATTTAAGAATTGGGAAATAATGTTGAATAGATTTTTGGCAATCATAAGATCGCAAGGGCGAAATTCTATAAAATCGCTATAATCGACTTTCGTCTATAAAGGCATTCACCATAAACGGTTTAATAAACATTAAATGATTGAACTGATCCCTACAACAACGCCTTTTGCTTATCACTCTATTACGGGGCACTTATAGATCTAGCAGGAGGATTTTAAATATATTTGTGCTCAAAATTTGAAAACTCGTGGAATACAGAGAATTGAAAACAATTTAATTCAAATTTTGTTAGGTACTGTTAAAAAATAAACTCAGTTTGCCAAATACAGCAAACTCGACAACAATCCGGGCTTTCCAAGCAATTTGCCATAAATTGGTGTTGCATGCACAATAAATTCTATAAAAATTAAATGAGTTTTTGGATCATTCGATACTTATGACTCACTTTATATTACGATTGAATAATTTGCTATCCACATTGCAAGCATGGTTATTGTAATTTATAGTTTAATGATTCTCCATGGATGCATGGACAGTACGAAATATTTATTCACGAAATCGACGTGGTTTAATGAACTTTTGCCCGCCAAAACCCAAAGGCAATGTAAATAATTGCTGTTRTAAAGTAGCTATGRTTTTTACTACAATTTTTGTTCAATTACTCGATTTAAAAATTGTGGGCAAATTTCGACAAATAGTACGGGCGCGTCATATCTAAATTTKCTGCAACTGCACCTTTGAAAAAATTAGGAAAATTATTAAATTACAGTTGTTTACAGAAATTATCTCCTTCCTTTAGAAAKTTCTCGAAAAGCACTATGCAAAACCAAAAATTTTGAATTTAGACAACCTTTGGTTCGAAAGAAGTGAACAATTCGTAAACTAGAAGAAAAACTCTCTAGAAGTTTCTGCAAAATTCTCATAATCATGCGATGTTTCATACTTGAATTAGCTTTGGAACTAATGGAGTTATTGGAAATCTGAGATATAAATTAAGCTTTTTATTTAAAATTATATATACTTTTCAAAGTGATTCTCAAATATTGTCGGAAGGCAACTCAAAAAGGCAAAAATTATTGATTTTTAGAATGTTTTTCCTAGTTGTGTAAGTCACTTAGTTGAAAAAATTCACATTATTCTTTCATCGTTTCATACCTTCTATGAATTATGTACAGACTCAGCGTAATAATAATGATAAATAATATAACAATAATGATAAATAAAGATGGAAGTTCACATTTTTTAAGTGCAATATGTCAGTGGAAGTAATAAATTTAAATCTTACAAATCAATCAGGTTCTGCAGATCAGCCTTATAGTGAATTTAGATTGTAAAACTGGCCTGCAGGGTATGAAAAACTTGACTTAATAAACGTACTTACCTTTTCCTTCCCTCCTAATATTGATACGTAAATGCTTCGTTCAACCATCGAAAACATTATTGAAAAATTATAATTACTTTTACTTACGACAACCATCATGCTTGTAACTCTGACTCTAACTAGGACAATAGTATTTCAGTCGGAACTTTACGGTGCTCACAGTTACAATTTTATATCGAGGTATGAAAAAAGCTGTACGACACATTAAATTTGAACAAAATTTTGCATAACCTTTAACTTTTGGTAACTGTAACTCAATTAAACTAGTTTTTATTAAGTTCCTCTCTTTGGTTCAATAACAGTATTTCTATAAATTTTGGGCAATTTTTTATTTTAATTTTTAAAGCTTTTATTACGATAAGTCATGCCAGGATATTTTGTTGAAATGCACTGCCTGCTGCAATGTTAACAGCTACGGAGGTCCTTCTTATGAATGAACACTGGAATAATGAAGGATAGAACTGGAAAAGGAGTATTAAGAGTAAATTTCTTATAAGTATGAACCCGAAAGCTCAAGAGTTGATTCTAAAGCAACTGAACAAAATAAACCATTGTATTATAAACAAAACCAAAACATACAAACAACGCATATGAACGCCACGAACAACAGCCAGTTTTTTAATGGATATAAAGTAATTCAACTTTTCCAACTCCAATATAAATATTTCTCTTGCAATTACAGTCTACAAAAAACAACAATTGAAACAAAAGCGAAATACGGAGACAGAAATAATCAGAAGATATASAAATCCAYGTGTAAATGACTATTAGACTATGAAAACAAASTAAAATTAAACGCGGTGGAGAAAACTCATACAAAAAAYRGAATAGATGGCTCGAAGACCAATTGGAAAAATAAGACACCSTGACAACTCCACAATCTATCCAACATTGTTGGRTATATGAGGKTCTTCTATACGAGCGCAGAAAAATGATAAACAAAATAACTGTAACACTGCGACAAATACAGGGAWAGCCAAGGATCGTCCTTCTGAGTYACAATCCCAATCCCGTTTCTCTTTCTTGAGCTCTAGAATAGTTTACGATATAAAAAACTAAAATAAAAGTCAATTTCGTTTTATTTTTATTGATGCCATACACAATATTTTGTAGAGTTTAACTCTCAAAAATTCCCTTTACTTGCTCAACCGATTTATTTTTTTTGATTTGTCAGATCGATTTGCATACATACATTTGACCAACTGTATTAAATTATATGAATACATAGAAACGTTTCATTCTATCCAGCTGACTCGTAGAATAGAGGGATACTTAATTGACTATATGTACAAGTGGAAAAGCTAATAATTATTCATCGCCAGTTAATTTGTGCAAACAACAGTTATACAAAAAGTTTCTTGCTGGTCTTTTATACACCCACAATACAATTACAATGGTTATTGTAAAAGGTGGTTAAAAAAATATTTCCTCAATAAAAACATTTAAAGTGCCACTTAAGAGGCGAGCTTTGGAAACGTTTCATGGTTAACTGGTTTCATGGTTAACTGGTTTCATGGTTTCATGGTCGATCTGGCTAAACATTCATTCCAGATAGCATTATTTCTATACATCTTATTTAACGTTAAATCTTGCAGATTTTTGCAAAAATTAGTATTTGTCCAAATTACTTTTTATATCAACATGCAACTTGGCATCAGTTGCCATCTGAAACCTTTGATTCTACAATAAACACAGTTAAAGTAAACTTTCAACTCTATGTGTATTGTTTGATCGGTAAACCAGTTTTAGAAGTGGCAGCAAGATGCCGACCGGAACGTTCTGGCATGTTATTTATTGCGCAAAGTTTAATATTACTCCCAATTTAGTAAAGGTTTTTGAGCTGTTCGTTTAATTATATGCTGTTTAGTGGCGGTGTGTTTAAATATTCGTCCGAATAAATTCAATAGTAAAACTATGAAATTCGTCTGAAATGCATGTAAGTAAATTAAGTTGATGCAATTATGCAAGTGGTATTTTATGGTAAGGGCTGGTCTTTAATAAGACAATTGAATGATGTTAGATATGCCTGTTGCCACTTGAATTTATTTTAGAACAGCGCAAATCATTATAGGGAGTTTATCATCTAAATTGGCGTCATTTAGAGTCGTCCGGCAGCGTTTAGGGCGTACAGGAAAATAGTAAACAAAAATAGTTCTTCTGAAAAAAACCTTATGAGATATTTGTAAAACACCAGACCAGAAGAAAAAATTGTAGAAGAGTACTTTTTCAATATAGTTTTTTTCATAATTTGATGTAAATATCGTAATTTTTCTTTACAAATGCTTAAGTACGCCAATAGGCTCCGTCAGACATGGGAGCATTTCAATATACAAGCAATACTTAATAAGTAAGATTTTTTAACTGTCAATATCTTCAAAAAAATATTTTCTAAATTTTTCTCGTACTTCCCAAGTTAGCCCCTCTAACCTCTGCCCCCCTAAAGGAAATGCACCTAATCTTGAGTCACCCTGTATTTCATGTTGATTTAGTTGTTAAAATTTAGTTTTATTAATGCAAGAACTGATGAAGCCTCTTTCGTATTTCTCTAAGCCTTTAACGCCTTTAAGGAATAACTCAATTTTAAACCTGTTGAATTTTATACGCCTTCAGAACGAAGCTAAAAGACAAAAAGTTAGCTTGTAAGTTTTACAGACTGGTTTTTTTTTTAATTTCAAAAAATCATCCCAATGAGTTGAACTTCTAACCACATATAAATTAAAGAACACTAATTTGCAGGAATTCCACGTCGAGGTTCAGTTCGTCACTCGCCAACAGTAGTGCCAACTGTTACCATACAAACTGATTATCGCGAGAACATTCCCGAGGAAAATCACATTACTAAATTGCAGCATGATGATTTACAGAAAACTGCATACGAAGAAGATGAACAAAAGGAAAAGGTGACTGCACATGCACGATGGCTCTGGGCGTTCAACAAGATTCTCCTGCAAATTCATGTAAGTAAAATGTTTCCCAATCAGTTGATAGTTAACTAATGATTTAAACTCACAATGATATTAAGTGTTTGTGACATCCTAACATGTAAAATTATTACATGCATACGTGGCCTGTGGAGCCAAAATATAGAAAGAGGACTCCTGTTGGGTGAAGCTGATTTTCGCCCAACGTTGTAGCTATTAATTGAAAAATTGTCCTTGAGGAAGCAGTATCACGCTCATAATATTGAGAAGGGTCATTACTTCAATAAAACCTATACAAGCCAATACTTTTCTAATATTCAATGTCGACATCCAAGGGTTAACAGCTTTTAAAGCGCAGTTGTGTGCCGATCTCCTACAGTGTTCGCGTGGTTGTCCCTTTGGGGGGTATTTGCTGGATATCTTTTTATTTATAGACACTCTTAACTTGTTAAAAGCATTATTTATTGAAGCTGAACTGATCGTTATAAATTTCACAATTTAGATGGTTTTCGGATAAACGAAATCCGAATCAGCACAGAATTCCTACATATGCTATAACCATTTATGTGTTGCGGAAACATTTATTGTTGGGCCAAAGAAAAGCAAGGTGTTAAATGAACGATGGAAACCGTAGTTATGAGGTCCCATTCTAAAGTTGAGTCGAGCAATTCTATGATAAATTGCGCAGTTATGTGATAACACTTATGAAATAAATAGTCTAGTTTAAAAACAAATGTTTATATGATTACTTTGGGAACTCAATTGAAACACAAAATTTTAACTGATGGAAGCCCTCCCAATTGATTAAAGGTTTGGTATCAGTAAAATATTATCATTTTCTCTTCTGCTTCTTAGTTGGGCAATACGCGATTTAGTGTATCTAATGTTAAAGATTGACAAGAACATGAGCTATAAGTACTAAATATTGTTGGCAAATTTATAAATTTGCTTTTTGAACATATCTCACTTTTCGGTGACACATTTATTATTTACTTATTAGCTTGTCTATAATACCTAAATAAATAAAACTAATAAGGTGTTAATCTTGGTCATGCGTCAGTCTAGTCTAGTTTATCTCCCTTACATCTCATTTAATTAGTCGGTCAAGATAGATACTAAATAGAGGTTTTTACTGTCGTTTTCGACATGTGCATCTAATCTTGACTGTTGAATTAGAATCATGGCTTTTGACTTAACATATCTCTAATCTACAGGGCAGTTTTTTTTAGTGTGAGAGAGTCCATTATTTCCGTGGAATGCAGCTTGAAACCCTGCAGATGCGATTTTAGTAAAATTTTGCTTAAAAACATAGGCATCTAAAAATTCACTGCAGAAGCAAAAAAAAACAGTTAAAGATACAAAAAATATGTTCTTCCAATCACCACAGATCTGTTAAGAATTCCATTGAACGTCATTAGATAGACAATTTACAAAGCTACAAATTTGCATTTTCACTTTCAGCTGTGAAATCAATCGTTTTCAAATTATAATTTATTTTATTTCGAAATTTCTCAAAGTCGTTACGTTTTGTATATGGAATTCAATAAATAAGTGTCAAAATTTGATCATACTTGACCTAATCAATGAATAAAAGTGCAACGTTGTAGAAAATGCATGTAATTTCATAGCAAAAAATACGTCTATAAAAATATAAATACAAAATTATAGCTACAGTGATATTTTAAAATAAATGTTCAATATGATTTCCGTTAATATTTAAGCAACTATACGTTTTTCAAATGAATCGATAACAGAACAAGATTTTTTTTCACATTATGCGGCGCAAGCTTTATTGCCATCTCAATTTAAGAGTGCTTTTGGAGCAAGGAATTAACCTCCACTTTCTCCAGATTCAAGTGCCTTGATGGGGTTTTGAAAGGGATTCGTGAAAAAGCTGGCGTTATTAAAATGTAGGCGATTTAATAATTTTGCGTGCGTGACTCTTCCGACTTAAAATCTGTATTGTTAGAAAAAATAATCTACCATTTTTCCCATTTATTAGAAAATATGAAATTTCATAAATTTTTGATCACACTCACAAGCGAGAACACTGATTTTCCCGTGTCGTGAATTTATAAATATCCATTCATCCATGCATATGCACGCATGCATCCTGCTCATAGAGCTGGATGCTCTGGCCCCTATAAGCTGGGGTATTATAGAAATAGATAAACTAAGCGTTTGGAAAAACCGAATCTAAGAGCTTAAATAATTTGCGGAAGCAAGATAAAATGTATTATCTACTACAATGTAAACAACCAAAGCAAACAGTTGTAGAACAGTTTGCATTACTGTTTGCTTACCAGATATTAAATAAAAAATATACTATATTTATGTAAATAATACATTAAAAAGAGTATTGCAGAATTACAATTCTATTGTCAATTCGCCTATGAAGCTAATAGCTTAGGGAAATTAGCTAAATCTGAGGAAAACAATTATATTTTGTGCATCACCAAAGGAAGAAAGTCCGTTAATTTTTTTGGTTAAGTTTGTGGAAAATGTGTATTCATTTACCTAGATAAGGTTAAACCACTGGCTTCTGCATCGTCAAGTATATTAGACGAGATTATCCTGGCTGAATAAGCTTTCAGGATGGCAGAGAGGGGGTTAGCAGGCAATCGACTACCGAACCATGCAGACTAACCTTTGTGGCAAAATAAACGCGTTTGAAAGCTTAGCGGGAATATTTGTGCGTTTGAGTGCCTCCGATATTTGCCGGCGATCTGTTTGGTGAAACTCACTCGATATCCAGTCAAAATATTGATGAACAGTGCGCTTTTAACAACTCAAATTAATCCAGTGTTTTACTGTGCCAAATTGATCTTTCAAACATACTATTCAGTAGAATTTCTTAGCTGCACATAATTTGGTAAACATGTTAAAATTGAAATATTTATTTGGCTGATAAAAATGTTGGTGTCCGTTTTATAGAATTAGCTATGAGCGATATAACTAGCAAATATTGAACTGATCTCTATAAATTTCAAAAACTCCAAGCTGAAGTGAGAGTCATGTTTTTTCATATTATGTAAAATATTTATAAACTTCTGAGCACCAAATAAAGCGTTTGCAAAATATTAAATCTGTTTATAAATAGAAAATGACAATAAAAAACCATGCATAAACATTAAAAGTTTCACTGTTTCCACATTTTTTAACTGTTTATTTTGCCAATAAGCCAGGAAGGCTGAAACATTGGAAGCTTAAGGACAGTGGTTTAAAAGTTGATGAAATGCCCTAATGAAAAAAAAAATCCAAAATCATAAAACAATCAGCAATGTTTTTGCATATCTATTTATCATTTAGATTTTTTGTTAATTCCTCATAAGTGGAGTAAAAGTAATATTGTGCTTCGGACTTGTGGAATTATAAGGAACAAACATTCAGGGAAATTGAAGACTGCATTGATTTATGTCTTATCATTTTAATTTTTTTTTCATGGATGCCTCTTCCTGGAGGCACACAGTTTTGGTAACTATAACTGCAAATAAATTGATATCTTTGCTAAACTTGCATGACATAATTCTGTTAATATCACGTTTATGCGAAATAATTCTACATGAAAAAACTGATTTATTATATAAAATTTTGACGCCAAATGCACTACTGTTTCAAAAAAGTTTAATAAAAATAGAGCACAGTTTTTGTAAACTTTTTTGCTTGTTGTTGTCAAAGTTTGCAAAGTTGGAAATTTTTATCCACATTTCTATTGTCGATAGATATTCTGAAATTAAAAATATTTACTACCAAACTTTGAGTCAGTGAACAAAAACATGGGATGACAGCAATTATACTGCCCAAAGATACTTATAGCAAGATATATTCAGTATTGAGAAAAACTAGTAAAAATGTAGCAAAAAAATACATTTTTTAATTTAAACTTTCAACATTAAACTACTAAAATTTTTTGGGTAAAAATACAGGGAAATGCCACTAACCCTAATCAATACTATTTATTAAGTTGGAACTGAGAGTGCTGATTTTGCTTGTAGTTATATTTGTGGCTCATTATCTGTAAAAAACCGTTCAAAGTGGGCAGTGATTTTCGACTCCATATAAGATTTATAGGTCATATATGTATGTTTCACTTCAAATTTTCGGATACAATTAGTCTTTTATTTGAAAAATAATTTTAATTGCATTATACGGATTTTTGGCAGTTTTAAGTACCCACTTTAATTTTACTTTTCCTGATTGTCTCAACAGTCAGGTTTCTATGAAAAGAAACTTATTGAAAAAGTAGGATTTTGGCTTTAAAATTCGCTCCTGAGACTCACGAATCACTAAAAATTTAATTCTAAAAATGAAGAAATTACATGGAAATTTTGCACATGTTCATGCATGAAAATAAAGAAATATCAGAACACCAAAGCATAAAAATCCTGGAAAATAATTCGGGATTGATGTGATGTAAACAGTCTATATAATTTGTATGAAGTTTTTATAGCGCCAGCACACTTTGCGGCAAGTATAAGTGAATAATTGACATTTATAAAGAATAATTCAATATGAAACTTATATTGGAACATCAAATGCCCGTTCCATATTCGGATAACAGACATGGTAAAAATTCCCTCAAATCGAGTTATAACTTTCGTATGTATTTGTATGGATTTTGCAATGGCAATCTGCATGCCCAAGTGAAATTTACTTCTACTTGCCAACTTCAATCATGCATTAATTTAGTTTTCGCAAGTCAATGCTGCAATTCAACTAAACAAGTCCAATAATTATTAAGTGTGAAATCAGCTCCATCTCAATATTTGTAGAATTCAACAAGTTTTCAACTTTAAGGTCATCGAGCGTAACAGTTTCAAACGGTTTTGATGGAGGAGTTTAGTTGATTTTTATAGTTTGCATAATTTTTTTTTCATGAATGATTTAAATTAATTCGTCTTTGAATAATTATTTTAAATTTTTTTTAAGAAAGTTTGCAAAATTACAAATTAACACAAATTTCTAAGTTCTAATCTACATTTTGTTGACTCAATAGTGGTAGATACGAAAATAAAAAACGGCAAAATCGACATTGTAATTCAAAATAATATCTACGACCTTATAAATATCGAACATGGTAAAATTGCTGATATTTTTATTGTTGTGCAC